CAAACAAAGATGTTCAAAAACACTGGCAGGCGCTGAAAGACCTAGTCGAGCTTATTCAACTGTAATCTTACACATATAAAGACCCAATTACATAGTTTGTTGAATGCTTATATGTTAACTTTAACTTTGATGGGGCTCAGAAAAAGCTGAGGGAATGTGAATCAGTGTTTGTGAATTACTTCTTAGTGGCTTATCTTGAGGATTCCAATGAAAATGCCCGTCTCTTCATATTTGAGACTCTTTGTCTCATCCATCAGTGTATCAGCATTAACATGCTGGCTCATAAACTGAACATGACCCCAGAAGAAGCTGAAACGTGGATTGTGAATTTGATTAGAAATGCAAGACTGGATGCCAAGACTGATTCTAAATTAGGTCATGTGGTTATGGGTAACAATGCAGTCTCACCCTATCAGCAAGTGATTGAAAAGACCAAAAAGCCTTTCATTTAGAAGCCAGATGTTGGCCATGAATATTGAGAAGAAACTTAATCAGAATAGTAGGTCAGAGGCTCCTAACTGGGCAACTCAAGACTCTGGCTTCTACTGATAAACTTTTTTTAAAAAAGATGAAGAAGTAAAAGAAAGATGCAACGATAAAACCATTACATAAAGTGTGACACACATTTTAGAAACAACAAATTGAGTATAAATTTTGAAGAATTTGAATAAAATTGGCTGTTTCATTTAAAAAAAAAAGAATAATAAGTTGTCCTGAACATGAAGAACTTGGCAGAATGAAAGTTCTAGATATCCTCTCCCATCTCCCTGCTGTGTGGGGGGAGCGAGGGTGAGCACCATATTATTAGCATCACTATATCCTTCCTCAAGGAACAGAGCCCAGCAGGCTGCCCCTAGTCTCTAGTCACTTACAGCCTGAGTCAGAACTCTCCTTGTTCTTAAGGAGTTTTGTTTTTCCACTTCATTTTCACATATGTTGCTTTATTTCTCACATCAACCTGTGAGGTATTGGGAGAAAAGGAAGGAATCACAGATGATTTGAGTATCTTCCATGTGCCAGACATAACGCTGGTGACTCTAAATCAGTGATTTCATTTCATCTGCACAATAAAACTGTGAAAGGGTACAGTTATCTTCACTTTACAAGTGATGACCTGAATCCAGTGAGTTCCTTTTTTGTGTGTACATTTTCCTCTCATTCCATATATGCAGCACAACCCTGGCCTGAGGTTGGGTCCTGTGGGAAGTTTTCCAAAGCATTCTGAAATCTCACTGTCTTCAATACAATGATCTTTACATCTGTCTCAAGGCCCATGAATTGAGACTAATTTACCCCCAATGGGTCTGAGATCAAATTATGACTTTGCTGCTTATAAGCTATATGATTCTGTGCTAATCACTTAACCTGTTTATTTTCTCATCTCTCAAATAGGAATCCACCACCTGTCTGTCAGTTTGTCCTACTGTGGTGGTTGGCATGTTGCTGTGATGCTAGAAGCTATGCCACCAGTATTTCAAATACCAGCAGACTCACCCATGGTGGACAGGTTTCAGCAGAGCTTCCAGACTAAGACAGACTAGGAAGAAGGACCTGGCCATGGTCTTTTCAATCGCCTCGTATGCATGCAAAAGCTGGAAAAGAAAAACGAACACTGAAGAAGAATCGGCACATTTGAATTATAGTGTTGGCGAAGAATATTGAATATATACCATGGACTGCCAAAAGAATGAACAAATCTGTCTTGGAAGTACAGCCAGAATGCTTCTTAGAAGTGAGGATGGTGAGACTTCATCTCGTTTACTTCGAACCCGTTATCAGGGGGGACTATTGCTGGAGATGGACATCTTGCTTGGTAATGTAAAGGGTCAGCGAAAAAGAAGAAGACCCTCAACAATGGATTGACACAGTGGCTGCAACAATGGGCTCAACCATACCTACTATTATGAGGATGGGGCAGGGCCAAGCAACGTTTCCTTCTGTTACACATAGGGTCACTATGAGTCGGAACTGACTCAAAGGCACCCAACAACAACCAAATGGGAGTAATAACACTTCCTACTCCACAACGTGGTGAAAATTAAATAACTTACATGAAAGTGCTCTGTAAATTGGGGTGTTTCATGGAAATGTTATTTAAAACAGGATTATCAGTCAGCTTAATCTGAAAAGAGCTCCAGCAGGATTATGAATGTTTACATCACTGATCTTCAATGAAGTAGGATGCCAGAACTGCAACTATGGTTGGTGACTTTGGGAGTGTTGTAGGACAAGAAAAGCAGAAATTCCCTGAAGTGCTTGTTGAGGAAATGGTCTTTGCTGTTATCAGTGTATAATTTATATCATTCGTGCCCTGGTGGCGCAGTGGTTAAGCATTTGGCTGCTAACCAAAAGCTGGCAGTTCAAATCCACCAATTGCTCCTTGGAAACTTTATGGGGCAGTTCTACTCTGCCCTATAGGGTCGCTATGAGTCGGAATCGACTCGACAGCAACAGGTTTGTTTTGTTTGTTTGTTTTTGGTAAAGACATCTAAATCCTTTACATCACATGCCTCTCAAAGCAGTTTTAGCTACATTATTTTATTTGACACTCACTAAAAACCCCAAGAATTAGTCTTTATCTATTAAAATTGTTCTACTTGCTTTGTTACTATCTTCCCCTTCTGAGAAGTGGCCCATCTGAATTTGCAAAATCCTTCCCATCTTCCCTTTAAGGCCCATTGCAAAGGCCACCTTGGTCCAGAACCTGGCCATAAACCCCTAGATCAGTCTTCTTTCTGCTTTCTGAATCCACACAGCACTGTGCACCTTATGGTGCCATGTATTCTATTCATTTATGTACTTGTCTTAACCTTCACCCCTCCTCCCCCAGCTTATCACTAAATTCACAAACTCTTTGACAGGGAGAAGTAAGGAATGATTTCTTTGTTGTCGTTTTCTGTCAGTCCCATTTTTAAAAGCTTTTTATTGTGGAAAATTTCAAATATATAAAACAAGTAGGGGGAATAGTATAAAGAACCCTCATGTACCCATGACCCAGCTTCAACAATTAGCAACAAAGGAACCGTCTTATTGTATCTATACCTCCATTCCTTCTGTCCTCTTACTTTGGATTATTTTAAAGCAAACCTCAGGCATCCTATCATTTCATCCTTAAATACTCCAATATGGGCGTCATCTTTTGCATTTCTGTGTCCCCTATGATTGGAAGATCATTTGCGTCTGTGTTCCCTATGACTCAGCACATCAGAAGATTATTTCGAAGCTCCTACTACGTACCAGACTTTGTGCTTGGCTCTGGAGGTTCGGTGATTGAGTAAGACAGCGTTTGAGCTAGGGAGGCACGCCAGTACCAAGCCACGACGTTCCTAACCAAGAATTGTTACCGTACTGACGAGTGAGCACAGGGTGCACGTGGGAGCCCAGGAGTAGGACGTCGAATTGCACTAACTGAATTGAACCGAATCGGCTTTCTTGTCTCGTGGCGATCCTAAGTTTGAACTCGCCGCAAGGCGCGGGGTCTCCAGCAGGAGGCGCTGCAAAACGTGGAGGCTTGCTGGGCTCAGCTTCTGCCCGAGCCGACCAGCGTAGCTAGCGCGAGCCTTGAGTGTAATCTGCAAGCAACAGCGCCGCTTAACAGGTGAGCAGGACTTTGAGCGTCAGGGCCCGAGAGGGGCCCCGGGGTTCAGGTGTGGGACAGAGGCGCGGGGTCGCGGGGCAGGCCCAGCACCTGCTCCCAGGTCTTCTCGCCACTGCCTGCAGCCCCCGGCTGCGGCCAGTTCCCGCGCCAACTCCCGCTCTTCCTGATAAAATATATCCAAGCAGGGCACAGGACAGAGCAAGGAAACACCTGTTCCCAACAAGAAAGGAAGTAGGGGGAAGCCCCCATCATGTTTCCAATGGCTCTCATCGAGCCTGCTCTTGAAAGCCTTGTAAAAGCTCTCCCAGAAAGCCAGGGGAGATAATTTTTTCGAAAAGATCTCTATTTCTAAATCCCCTCTCCTTTTCCTAAACTGTACCTCCCTTTTTAAAAATGTCTTCTTTCCTCCGAGGGGTTTCCCACTCCTCTCAGACCTCTTAAGGCCCCCACCTTGGTGTCTGCAGGGACTGCCACCATTCCCACTCCCAAATTTTATAGCTACATTCGCCTCCGAATTTTTAACTTCCTCAACCTCCTGCCGAGCTACAGGTGGGGAGTGGGGCTTAGGGGGCAGCAGAACAAAGAAACCAGGGAGCCCCTGTCCCAGGCCAGACGCCTCTTCCGCAGCCTTCGACAAATTGGGGAGTAAGAAGGGCTCAGAAGTGCGTGAATCCCCGAGCCCAGGTCTCACGCCACTTTCCAAAGGCGAGCCCGAGGATGCGTGGGAGGTGGGGACGGCCCGCGAGCAGCAGACAAACAAACAGAACCCCATGGAACAGGCCTGAGTGGCCGTGGGCGCCAACGGCTTCCACGCACTGAGCTCCGTTATTTCATCAGCAGTTTCAGAAAAACCTGCCAAAAGCAGTTATGCCTCACTGCAATGTGTAGCTTTTTCCTGCCTTTTTTTTTTTCAAAATAAAAGAGGGAGTGAAACTCGCTCGCTGTCTCCCCCTCCCTCTCCCAAAAAGAGCCAAATGGATGTGAGAAGGGGGGGGGAAGAACCCACACACCAATCTCCAAGTGGATGCCAGTGAGGTGTGGCTTGTATTTAAATATCCAATATGTCAATGTAAGGGGAGTGGGTATGTATATAAAGTGCCATTTGCATCTGATAGCTTGAGGAAACCAGCTATGAGAGGCCTGGGGAGATGGATGCGGAGGGGAAGCGACACTTAGACTGAGAGCAAGGTCAGGAGGGGCGCGCTGCCCCACGCTCCCCGCTGCTGAGAAGTTCCTTGGACGCGAACAGACGTCGACTGCAGCTCGGAAGAGCGCGGAGCAAGAGAGCTTGCCAGCGCCGCGGAATCGCCCGCGCTCGACACTGGGAAAGGCAGTTCGCGCCCCGCGGCCCCGGCTCGGTCCGCGCGCCCCCCGCACAGCCCGCGCCGCCGTCGGCCCCGCCATGGCGGAGGTGGGGGCGGTCTTCGCCTCCTTGGACTGGGATCTGCATGGCTTCTCCTCCTCTCTGGGGAGCATGCCCTTAGCTGACTCTCCGGGTTTCCTGAACGAGCGCCTGGGCCAGATCGAGGGGAAGCTGCAGCGCGGCTCGCCTACAGACTTCGCCCACCTGAAGGGGATCTTGCGGCGCCGCCAGCTCTACTGCCGCACAGGCTTCCACCTGGAGATCTTCCCCAACGGCACGGTGCACGGCACTCGCCACGACCACAGCCGCTTCGGTGAGGACGCGGCCTGGAGGGACGGGAGGCGAGCGGACGGCGCGGTGGGGAGCCAACGACCCCAGGGGCTTAGGGCGGACCCGACACGACGGTGCGGACCTGAGCCGCAAGGCGTCAGGGCGCCTGGCACCTCGGACGCGTTGGGGGTGGGGGGCAGGGGCGCCTTGAAATTCGGCCTCTCCTTTCCCCACCCTCCCTCCCGAGGGAGCTAGGGGTTCGTTCTAGGAACTGGAAGCAGCGCCTCGGACGAAAGCAGGTGGAACTGGGAGATGGTGTAAGTTCTCGCTGGGGGATGGGGGGGACGGCCGCGGCTGCACCGCGGGGTCGGGCCTCGAGGGTAGCAGGGCTGTCGCGCCGATTGCCTAGAGCAGTAGTAGCCTGCGTGGGCCATGGGCGTGGTGGGCGGGCGGCCTGTGCCCGAGTCGCTTTTGGCAGGCAGGGACTGGGCAGCGGTGGCACCTGCCTACCTCGGGGTTGCTGTGCCCAGGGTAGGAGTCAATCCAGGCAGCACGTCATGAGCTGGGTACCGGGGATCTAGGAAAGCCTCCAGGGTCCACTGTATAAGAACACAAGCCCTGGAGCAGCTTTTGCCCTGAGATACCTCTGGACTCCTTGTCTCACTGGGGAAACCGCACAAATCCTGGCTCACTCTCAGCCCCAGAAACAGGTGTCTCCTGGTCCCAGGACAGGAAATGTCCAACCTCCATCCATGATTGTCTCTGCCCATCACTCTGTACAGCTTGTTCAAAGGTACAGCTGCTTGTCCCACATACAGAACGAATTACACAATTAATATAAAACTTGATCATATAAACGGAGATCATTAGGTTTCTAAACAAATGTGTTCACTCCTCAGCAATTTGGCAATTTTTATTTTCAACTTCCTATTCTCTACTAAGCCATTATGCAGGTGCAATGAGAGCTCCCTGTCCTTGCCCACCCCTCAATCCCCTAATGCCCTCTGTTTCCTCCCAAGGACTCTATAATCCAAGAACCGCACCTTCCACCCCAAGCCAGTAAAAGGCTCAGCCTACCCTCAAGCCTGACACTCTTCGCTTCTTTTTTTCACTCTCTCTCATTCCTCCCACTAAACCAGTCTATCCTATTCTCTATGCCTAGCTAGAGTTTCATCTAGTGTGCACCGTAAAAAATGGGGTGTAGGGGCCAGTTGCTGGGCAAGGCCAAGCCTAGCAAACAACTTAGGTTGGCCTTCCTTGCTGGAAGCAGACAGGAACCCTAATGAGGTCTATGTCATCTTGGAAAAATGCACTCAGAACTGGAATACAGTAGGTTGGGGGGGGGGGCAACAGAGGGATGCAGGTGTCTGTATAAACTTGCAGCAGGTTCTCAAAAGGGTGATGAGGTGTGTGGGGGGTGTTAACTTGGCTCGTTTCCCTTCCATCACTTGTGACTTTGCAGTCCCCTTTTGTTCCTCTTCAGAAGGAATGTGATTTCCACCCTGGCCTCAGAGCCTCCCAGAGGCTCCCAGAAATGGCCTAAAGATACTGGGGTAGCTCATTTTTTATAAAAAAAAAAAAAAGAAAAGAAAAGAAAAGTCATGAAATAATGGAGAAGTGTGGGGGTGGGGCAGTGAAGGTGGAGAAACTATGAACACAGCTCCCAGAGGCTCTAAGTGTTTGTCTGGCTGCATGCCTAAGCTGAGCCAAATAACCTACAAGGTCAACATAAATCAGTAATAGGCTCTTGGGGTAAGTGGTCTTTAATTACCTCCCTAAAGACACATCTTGATTTCTTTTCATCTCCCAGGCCTGCTAAGGGTGTTAAGTTTAAGGAGAAACCAAAGGAAATAAAACAGGCAGGAGGAAGGGATATTTTCACTGCTGCTTAACTGACTGCTTAATTTTTGGTTTTGCCTTTTTCGAAAAACACTGCCTGGGACCACTTCTGCATCACCTTTTCCCTTCCCACCTTACCTGACTTCCTGGAAATTCCGCGTATTTCCCGTAAAGGAAATGATAACTGCTCAAAGCTGTCTCTTTTGTAACCTCCCCTGCCAACTTTCAAACACATACTTACTCTTTCTCAGTTTAGCTTTTGGCAAAGAAAGAGGTGGCATTTGAGTTTGCTAACTCTCTCCTCCCTCCACATTTGAGTTAATCAGCCAGGGTATTCAATAAATCGAAACTTTAACATTCCATAAGTGCTTTAGCAGTCAACATTCCAGCAAGGTAAAGTAGGCCAGACTTTAGATATAAAATATTATAGATTTCTTGGGGGGAGGGGATAGTCTCCAAAGGCCATGTAAAGTAAATAGCTATTTGTTGTAATTGGAGACCAGGGCCCCCAAGGATTACCCTGGAATCCATGTGTTCAAAATGAGCCCAAGAGCAACCCCTACTCCAAATAATAACCTGTTGCCACAGCATATGCTCCCCTCACCCCCATCTGCAATCAGTAGCCAGGAGTGTTTGAATCCCTGCCTGGCTGGTGGAGTTTGCATGAGGTTCACAGGGATACTGACATTCCTGAGGGCACTGTGAACTGGCAGAGCAGAGGTTGGGAGCCAGACTGGAGGAGAGGCCTCTCGCCAGGTGGGATACAGCAGGCTCATGCAGCTGCTTTGGTTTTTGAGTAAGCTGGTTCTTATCTGGCAAGATGCCAAAGCAGCACTGTCTTGGCCCTAAAGATCTGACAGTGTGGCTAAGGTTGCTCAAGAGAATTGTGGAACCAGATTAAATGACACAATAGCCAGTCATCTAGATAAGTTCTGAAGCAGTGGGGCCCAGGACAGATCAATTTTGACTGAGGCCATGGGAAGAGAGGTGTAAGAAGAGAAGAGTCTAGAAATTGTCTAGCCTGAGGTGGCCAAGTCAAGATGAGGCAGAGTATAGCGAGGTCCTGGGACTTGAAAGGGTGAAAGTACTGAGGACAAACTTTGTCTACTTAATACTTTACCTCAACATTTTACTGTTAACACCCTCTCCAGCTGTAGCTGGGAAAATGTGGAAATGGCTTGTTTTCTCTCCCCCTTCGTGCTGGCTGAGATTCAGGAGAAGGTTTAGGAATATCTGTTCCATCAGCAAGTGCCACTGCGTTCCCACAGTTTGAATTCAGCTAATAGGAAAATTGGCAAAGAGAAATGATGCCCAAAGACAGCTGGGCAGGGATGATTCCAGCTGTTGGAGACCCCTGTTACGGGACACAACCCAACTGACTTCCTGTATGATTTGTCCTTTGGCATCAGGGTTAACAGAGAATTGGGGAAAAACTGTGGTGACTCAAATGGCCACACCTCTTGGGTTTCATGATTTGTTCTCACACCAGGTCTTGGACGGGGAGATCACAAACTGCCCTCTGCTACTTAATGAGCTCAGGGTGGTCAGAGGCATGAGATACTTATATAATGAGGGAACTAAGACTTGAAGTTAGGAAGTAATCTGCTAAAGAAAAGCAAAGAACTAAAGGCTCCAGCAGGTTGGTATCCCTCAAAGTTTAGTACCCAGAACTGAATCATGACCTGGTTTCTAGTTTCCTGGCCATACTGATCACTCTCCTTTGAATGTTCTCCTGTTTTTCTATATCCCTCTCCTGCAGGAAGTTGCCAGAATTAAACACAGTACTCTCTGTGTAGTCTAATCAAGGCAGAGCAGAGTGGGATAATCCCCTTCCTTATGCTAATTACTAGTCCTCTATTAATGCAGCCTTATAGCACATTAGTTTTTCCCCCTTTTTAAATTTTTTTACATTAGTTTTTTAATAATTTGCATCCCACTAATCACATACATACTGAGCTTACCTCAGTATGTGGCCATTGTTGTATATGTTTTGCTAAGCTACATTTCCCATTCCAAAGATGGGCAAACTTAAAATATATAATAAAAATGCACAGAAACACAAAATAACAGTATACACTTTTAAGAAAATATATATGGTTGCCTGAAGTGGGGAGGCAGATGGGAGCAGGGAATGGAAATAAAATAAAAACCCTTGCACAGACCAATTATGATTATGGAATATGAACTAAGGAGTATGATTAACTCAACTGTCTGCACTTGAGGCTCACCCTCCCCCACAAAAAAATCCCAAACAAAAAATCTTGGGGTTTAGGAACCCAAGTGCAGGATTTTACATTTATTCTAAATGTAAAAACTTATTTTGTTAGAGTCAGCCATTTTTCCATCCTCTTGAATTCTCTTTGAATCTTGATTGTGTTATCCCTCTCAGCTGTATATCTTCTGGAACTAGAATAAGCAGTCCTTCTATGTTCTCTTACAAGTCATTTATTAAAATTTTAAACAGGGCAGAACCTTGCGTGCAGCTAAAGATTTTGGTCCATTACATTAGTATTTGACTAACCCCTACTTGGCACTAGGTATTGTCCCTTCCCCTACTGCCGTCATGTGTCAATCTTTTCCCAAAGCTGCTTTTTTTTGTGCTGTGAGAGTTAGTAACAACCCGAGAATAAAACTTGGAGGATTTCAGTACTAGATGCCAAAGGCCACACCCTGAGTGTTCTATATAATGGCAGCAGAAGAACCTTACATTCTTCAAATAGATCCAAGTGGGCTGTGGAAATATGTGCTCCTAAAGCAACCATTGCATTCCTGGGTGGTGCAAATGGTTAATGTCCTCAGTTGCTAACCAAAAGGTTGGAGGTTCGGGTTCAACCAGAGGCACCTCAGATGAAAGGCCTGGCGATCTACTTCTCAAAAAATCAGCCATTGAAAACTCCATGGAGCACAGTTCTACATCAATACACATGGGGTTGCCATGAGTCAGAATTGACTCGACGGCAGCTGGTTGGTAAAAGCTGCCATGCCTGAACATCCATGCACCAGCCCAAGTCACTGGGGATCCTCAGGAGACTTCCTGCTGACTTTTTCCTTCTGCTCCTGTACCTTATTTCAAAATTAACCACTTAAATGTTTTTATCTTGAAGGAATCATTAATATTCCTTCATTTTACTATCCCCATTACATAGACTATTACCCTTAAGAATTGCATAATTTTGATAAGGACAGCCAGATGTGTGCTCATTTTATACCTTTGGGTGCCTCTGTGAGTCAGTCATATCAAATTTTGGTCTGTATGCTGAAAAACATGGGTAGATACAAGAAAATCAAAGACAAATCTAGTTGACTGATATGTCTGTATCCATACAGTAGGTATACTATCTTAGAACAAAATTGCAGAGTCTAAAGTATCCCCGGCTTTCAGTTCTGGGTCCTTTTTACCCTTTTAGTAATTGATTTCTTTTCTTTTTTTTTCCTGCTCCTGGGTAAATGAAAATGTTTTCAAATCCTCAGCTCTAACTTTGTCAGCTACAGGGACATTTCTGAATTTCTTCCCTTTCCCCTTAAAGTTGCAACATCTCAAATCAGTATCAAGTCCAGTACTACCTGCCAATTCTTAGCCCTGGATAAACTTAAAATTCTCAAGAGAGAAAGGAAGAATGACGGGCTTGTCAGCCAGGGGCTGTACTGGCTGAAAACACTTTTTAGGAGAAAGCTCTCACTAAGCCAAGTTTTGCCTCCTGCCATAAGCAGGGGGAACAAACTTAGTGAGTGGCCTGTGTGGCCTTTGTTAGAGTCAACTACAGGCAGTTGGAAATAGAAGAGTTGGCTTTAAGGACGTGGGAGCTGAGAGGATGCAAAACAAGTTCAGCCTAGAAGAGAGCGAGGTAATGCTGTGTGCTCTAGGGAAAAGGGAGGTGACTTTGTGAAAGACAGAAATCTGGCTTCATTCTTCCATTTAGATTGCTGCCCTCCCATTTCTTGAAATGGTAATATTTGACAGCAGTGTATCTTTTAATTATGAAGCTTTTGTAGCCAAAGCCTTCTCACAGTCTGTTCCTCATAATTGCCTAAGAGTGTTGAATAGAAGCAGAGATTGTTTCTTCCCACTTTACATATGGAAAACGAAGCCCAGAGAGACTGAGTGCCTACTCTGAGGTTCCATTCTTGCTGCAAAAGATAGTTTCATTGGGTAATTCACCAAACACACACAGGGCTAGCCTCCAGTTGGGGAAAAATAACTGGTAGCTCATGTCACCTGAACAGCTTCCTTTTAGCTTGATGTCAGAAATTGGAATAGCATTTCCTTTTTTGCTCAAGGAATCCTGGAGTTTATCAGCCTGGCTGTGGGCCTGATCAGCATCCGAGGAGTGGACTCTGGCCTGTACTTAGGAATGAACGAGCGAGGAGAACTATATGGGTCGGTAAGTTTAAGGTTTTCTTTTCATCGGAGGCTGTTACCACCAGTGTTTGGACCATGTAAACCAAAGGTATAAAAACATTTATCTAACACTTGAAAGCACTTTAGTCAACTGTAAACGATTAGTGTATTTTAGTCACTTCCTGGCTGCCCAGGGCCTTGCTACATTAACACCTTCGCTCAATTTTCTCCCAGCAAAACAAGCTTTTCTGTGATCCATTTGCCTTTGCCTTTTCTATTAGAGGGCTAGCTAGTCTGATGACAATAGTAAGCCCTGCTAGTTCATCAGTAGATGGTCAGGGTTTGCAGCATTAACCATCCAAAGGAGCACATCTGAATTTTAATGGGTGCCTAGAGGAGTAGCAGAATAGCAAGTACAAAAATAAGCAATGGAAGAGTTGGCCTTCAGACTGAGGATTCTGAAATTAACAACACAGTCCCTGATTTCCAGATTGCTTTAGCTGAATCCCAAAGGCCAAATGAAACAAACATATGAAGAGTAAGGGCTCCAGAGTCTGGTGACAGCCTTAAGCCCCCAGCTTGGACTGGGCTGGCTGCAGTACATTTTTTTCTATTTTGGAAGCTAGCCCAGTGCTGGGGAATAGTGAGTGACTTTGCTGACCTTAACCCTTTCAAGGGATCTCAACTCCTGGCTTTGACTTTAGAGTCACATAGCATGCTTTCTGGCTGCCTGTACCCAATGAAATCAAAACACATTTTTCCCTGACACCTAAGAGATAGGCCTGTCCCCAGCACTCAGTATCGGCAGCCCCAGCAAGTAGTATGGCGGCCGGATCAAGTGTGAGAAGAGAGGACAGAGGCAAGAGACCCAGAAGCTGCCAGCTTGAAGTAGCCAGATTGGAGGAGCTTTTCAGGGAGACCTTTTCTAAGCTTTCTAACTGACAGGCTTGAGACCCTTCATTAGGAGAGATCACAGCTCACCTCCCGTGGAGCTTTATATAGATCCAAGGCCTGTGTCAGTTGGCATGGTTGGCTGTAATCTCAATGGATTTGAACATCATTAGCGCTAAGTACAGAGAAGCTCAGTGGGGCATTGGTAGGCCATCTCCTCCAATCCCCTGCCTTCAGGAAAGATCTCACCTAACATATTCTTGTGTGGCTCATGAAACAGGATGAAGGAGATACAGATCGGAGTGTTCTGAGCTCTTTGGAATGAAGATACTGGAAGATAGGGCTGAAATTTTCTAATACCAATGTGCTATTGCTATTTCAGGGTTTCTCCACCGGCAGGGGGGGATGGGAGAAATAATCATTTAATGGGCTCTACTTTATCTTCTCACCCTCACAGAAGAAACTCACACGTGAATGTGTTTTCCGGGAACAGTTTGAAGAAAACTGGTACAACACCTATGCCTCCACCTTGTACAAACACTCGGACTCAGAGAGACAGTATTATGTGGCCCTGAATAAAGACGGCTCACCCCGAGAGGGATACAGGACTAAACGACACCAGAAATTCACTCACTTTTTACCTAGGCCAGTGGATCCTTCTAAGTTGCCCTCCATGTCCAGAGACCTCTTCCGCTATAGGTAATGGACCCCTAGTGTGACCTCTGTGACCCATATACTCTGGGGCCACTGTTGTTTCTGCAAGTACTATACTCATAGCTTTTAAATCCGTCCTTCCTATCAATTTAGATAACGGAGAAGCACTTACTGTTCAACTCAACCCAGCTGTTCCCTTGTTGTTCAAATTGTATATCAAGGTTGGGTTATTTTGGGGAGGGATATGAAGGGAGGGGGTGGGCTAGAGGGAATCTTGTATATACTTTTTTCTTTACTCATCCTCTTTCCCCTGAGGTGGCACAAGAAAGAACGGGGGCCCCTGCCAAGGGCCAGGGGTGTCTTGCCCCACAATCTAACCAAATATCTTGACAATGGGTAAATGAAAGACAAGGAATCTGCCACAGATGCTACCTACAGAGCTTTGGAAAAGTCTCATTAAGAAAATCTTTAGGGCTACAGCCGTGCTGCAAGCCATTCTTGCATTGGCTCTGCAGATTTCTCATCTGTCCTGACATGCAGTTTTCCTGCCGTTGGAAGTAGGAGATGGGGTAGGTTGTAAGAAAATGATATTAAAATGTAAGCATGGATACTGTGCATAAGGACAAACTATTTATGAAATGTATATGCTATTTATTTTATATATTTATTTATTTCAAAATAATTTTATTTTTAATGAGAGATGCTATGGCTGGATTTTCATCAGAAAGAATAAGGTCCTACTGAAATAGGATAAAATGAGTATTAAAGCTTTTATTGGCAATAAAATTGTCTTTATATTGTAACTCATTGTCTAATTCTATTGATTTGTACATTTTGTAAGATTAGAAAGTTGATTAGCTTCTTTCTTTCCAACTCATTAGAATTTCCTGATATAGGCATCACACTGCCTTTGCTAGATGATGATGACACCATCATCCAGTATATTAGCATTATCTAGGGGCCTTATTGAAGTTCTGGTGGTCCTTTCCAGTTCTATGATTTTAAATTTAGTGGCATATCAAAGCTTCAGGAAGGCCTCTACCAACAGCTATTACTGAGTCTCCCAGTTGTGCTTAGGACTCAACAAATATATATATATATATATATATATATATATATATATATATATATATATATATAAACCTGTTGCCGTCGAGTTGATTGCAACTCATAGCGACCCTATAGGACAGGGTAGAACTGCCACATAATGTTTACAGGGAGCAGCTGATGGATTCGAACTGTCAGCCTTTTGGTTAGCAGCTGTAACTCTTAACCACTGTGCCACCAGGGCTCACTGTCTCTCTCTCTCTGTATATATGTGTGTGTGTATATATATATATACATAACCCCTTACCATCAAGTCGATTCTGACTCATAGTGACCCTATAGGACAGAGTAGAACTGCCACATAGGGTTTCCTAGGCTGTAATCTTTATGAAAACAGACTGCCACATCTTTCTCCCACTGTGCGCTGGTGGGTTTGAACCACCGACCTTTCAGTTAGCAGCAGAATGCTTAAGCACTGCACCACCAAGGCTCCCTATGTTTAGGACTAGGTATAGGAAAACCTTCCTTTGGGACTTACGGTCCAAACTCCTAAGGTCATAAACCCTAATTGGTGGCTTCTTACTTTAGATAGGAAGATGAAGGGATTCAAAATAATCAATAGGGAGGTTGATTTTTTGAGCCAGTCAACTGCCTACCTGGGGACATTTTCCCACTCCCTTCTCTTCCCTGTACCACTGCTCAGTCGTAGAGGGGACCTGTCAACACACTCCCCTAAAGCAGTAGTTCTCAGAGTACATGGTCCCTTGACCAGCAGCATCACGTGGGAATGTGTTATAAATGCAAATTGTTGGGCTCTAACCTAGACCTACAGAATCAGATACTCTGGGGATGGGGCCTAGCAATCTGTGTTTTAACAAGCCCTCCAGGGGGTTCTGATGCACAATAAAGTTTGAGAACTATTGCCCTAAAGGAATGGTTTTCAAAAAAAATATTTTTGCAGCTGGATGGTTTATAAATAAAGCTTCAGGGTAACTTCAGTCCATAAAACAAAAGTAGGATGGCTCTAGTTGAAGCGAGGATGGCATTCCTGGAGCTCCCTGTTCCCCTGAGCAGCCCCTGCGGTATCTAGGTTTAAAATCCCTGGCCTCTTTATTGACATTTACTAAGGTAGGCACACAGAGTTATTTGCATTTTCATAGCAAATGTTGTTCCGAGTCAAGAACCAAAGGAATAAAACTCATTGAGTAGTCAGGCACCATGAAAAGGTTTGGGGTTTGGGACGGATCTTACTGGTACTCCTCAGTCACATCAAGTAGGCATTCATTACTTTTCTAACTAATTGTATGGGTGTAACAAGTAGCTTAAGCACCAGCTCACTTAAAAATCAAAACCAAATGTCTATAAAAATTCACCTAAATCTACTCAACAGAGAAGCCACATACATGAAAATACACACATGATATAACAAATAAGACTGTATGATAAAAAACGCTAAATTGCATGATTTGTGTGATCTTAGACTAGAATGGTAATTGGTGGAACCACCAAGGCAGAGATCTCAGTGGGCTAGGATGATTAAGTAAGTAAGTTCCTGAAAAGGACAATGCCTGACTGTGAAGAACCAACAGGATTTGGAGGGGCAAAGAGAATGATAGTGATGTATGCATTGGGCTGCAGGCAAGAGACACCACCTCTAGAGGTCCCTGGGAGAGGAGTAAAAATCAGCTACATGACATTTTAAATGAGCAGCACACCTTTATTTTAAAACCAAAATTTTAAAACCAAAATTTTACCTATATTATCTTTGTTCTAGAACTCTTTATACACAGCCACAGCTTCTGAGGGCTTCTGAGATAAATGAGATCTGCTGTACCCAGTGGGAAGCTGGCGCTTTCCTGTGAGTAGGGCCAGTGTTATTCTATTGGAGCACTTGACATGGGCCTGGCAAGACTACAAGCACCATACTGCAGGGCAGGATTTACAAGGAACACACCACTGTAGTGAAAAAGGGAAAGACCCCAAATCCTAGGGTCAGTCCTTGCCTTTTTCCTCTGGGGGAAAAAGACTAAAAGAATGGTGTAGGATCCCTGGATGCAGGAGGAGCTCACAGGAAAAGTACTCTGTCTTGAACTTTGAGGAATAGCAACGAATGGGGCACATAGAAAATGGCAATGAGCAACTGTTCTCATATGCAAAAAGAGGGGAAAAGAAATCATGGAAATGAAAATGTAAGAAGTATAATCTAGTACCACTTTATCAACCCACAGCTGATTGACAACCTTATCCCCAAAGTGCTAAGTAATGGATTTTGTGTCAACCTAGAGGAAATGATAGAATAATAAGCTCTGGAGCTATGATTTGGATGAAAACATGCACAGAGACCATTTCTTATTCATCCTTACATCCCCCCCAGTATTAGGACGTTCCTTGAACAAAACTGGCACTTAGGAGAGGTTTGTTGAATGAACGAATGGTTGATTGAAAGAATTAATGACTAAATAAATGAATGGACAAAGACAGAGACTCCTTATTTAGCAAATATGCATATGAAACGAATGCTGGGCTAGAGAGAGCAAATGTCTTATATAACAGAATCATCTGAAGTGTATCTAGGGGAAAATAGTGAGTTCCCTGTTACTGAAAGTGTATAAGCAGACACTAGACAACCATTTGACAGGGATATTGCATCATTTAGAGGGGATGGGGATGGAGTAAATACTAGATAGCTGTTAAAGTGTCTTCAGTCCTGAGAGCATCTAAAATGGCAGAATGTGGCATTAGTTTACTAACAATATATTCCATGGGACCCCCAGAATTCTCCTGAACACCAATAGCATTCCAAATAAGCATATAAGACTCTAAAGTACTATCCAACCACTATCCCAGGCCAAGAAAAACACTAGACCAGGGGTTCCAAACTTTTGGTTCACGAGGTCCTTAAAGGTCTACAGAAGGCTCTCTGGGCCTGAGCTCCCTAATATAGTATGCAGAATTTTATGTATATGTATATTTGGTGTTTCATCAGTTCTCAAAGGATCCCCGAAAATGGTAGAAAAAGCTACCCTAGGGATTTCCACAGCCTTAAAGCATCTGTAAATCACAGGCATAAAAAACTGGTGGCCACTGTGAACCTATATGAAAACCTTGACACAATCATTTTTTTTAATTTTTTCCCATACAACAATTTATACATACATTGTTATGTGACTCTAATTGCGCTCCCCGTACTGTGACAGCACACTTCTCCTTTCCACCCCTGATTCCCCATGTTCATTCAGCCAGCTCCTAACCCTGTCTGCCTTCCCATCTCACCTCCAGACAGAAGCTGCTCGTTTAGTCTCTTGTATCTACTTGAGCTAAGAGGCACACTCCTCATGAGTATCCCTTTATGTCCCACAGTCCAGTCCAATCCCTGTCTGAAGAGTTGGCCTCAGAAATTGTTTTAGTTCTGGGCTGATGGAGAATCCAGAGGCCATGCTTTCTGGGGTTCCTCTAGTCTCAGACCATTAATTCTGGTCTTCTTACTAGAATTTGAGTTCTGCACCCCACCTTTCTCCTCCATCATGGACTCTCTGTTGTGTTCCCTGTCATGGCGGTCATTGGTGGTAGCCGGGCACCATCTAGTTCTTCTGGTCTCAGGCTGATGAAGTGTCTGGTTTATGTGGCCCTTTCTGTCTCTTGGGCTAAT